TTAAAAAAAAATAAAAAAATAAAGAGCGCTGGGGATGTAATTCAAGGGTAGAACGGCCCCGGTGGTTTAATCCCCAGTACCACAAAGAAAGAAATTCAGTGTTTTTATCCCCCCTGTCTTTCTGGCTCCCAGAAGTGAGAGTGAGGGGTTTGCGGCAACCTCCCCCTCACCCACAGCTGCCTCAGGAAACCTTCCCTGTCCGCTACTACACAGCAGAAGGGATCCAGCAAGGGATCTGCTCTGCTCCAAATACATTATGGGATGATGGAGCCGCCACGCCCAGAAGGAGGCTGTGTTGTTCCACCTGAGTCTCAGAAAATGAGAATAGACTCAAGATCTCTCAGTGCGATAAAAAGAGAGCTCCAGCAGGTCGCCAATGCGCACACCTGTAGTGGCTGTCACTCCGGAGGCTGAGACTGGAGGACTGCTTGAGCGCAGGAGTTCGGGGCCAGCCTGGGCAACAAGGAGACCCCATTTCTTTAAACAAAACAAAAAGCAAGGGGGGAAAAAAAGAGAAAAAACAGATCTCTGAGCAGGCTATTTCCTCCAGCTGGAATGTGAAGTCCCGGGAATCATCAGTTTAACAAGAGCCTCCCAGGTGCTTCCACAGGAGCGATCACTTATATTTAATTCTTCATATGATAAAACACTTCAATGAATTTTCCTAAATCACCACTACGAGGCAGATACTATCCTCTCGGAGGGAAGCTTACGCTCACAGGGGCGGACTCAGTGGCCCAAGGTCACAAGCTCAGCAGAGACACGCCGCGGTTCCAACCCAAACTTTTAACTCGCCTCCCAAGCTCACAAAATTACCCCAAGTGGGGCGGGGCTCCACTCTGCACTCACTCCCCGCCCCCGGCAAACGGGGGACACTGGAGGTACGAGCAGAGCAACGCGCGGCTCCGAATGACACCGCACAATGTGGGCGCAGGCCCCAACTCCCGCGCCCGGGTTCCGAATCCAGCTCCGGCCCGTGGCACTGCCCCGCGCATCCACTGCGCAGCTGGGGAAACTGAGGCCTGTGCGCAGCAGGAGTGCCCAGATGTGGCCAGCGGCGCGCCCCACCCCACGGCAGCCTGGGTGCTGCGTCCGACCCGGCCCGGCTCCCCCGCGGCCCCGGTGTCCCCAGCCCCCACCCCAAACTCAGCCCCGGCGTCGGTGGCGGCGGCACCTGCACATCTGGCAGCCTTGCTCGCGCTTCCGGGATGGCGCCCTCGCCGCCTCGACGTCACCACGCACCGTGCGTGCGAGCGCGCGTGGCGGCGCCGTATTCTGGGACCGACTAGCGTGCGTGGAGGCGCGGCAGGAAGTGGTCGGGCTGATACGTAATTTCTGTTCGCTCGTGCGTCACAGTGAATAGCCAATCAAACAGTTCCTGTCGCGCCTGCTCAGTTGTTCAAAGTCTGAGATCGAAAGCAACCCCAAAAGGGGAAAGCTGAGAGAGACATCCCATTATGCAAGGCTGAGGCCCAAGAGCTGTAGAAAGTACCCCCAAGGTCTTAAGTGAGCTGTAGCCGAATCAGACCCAGGTGTTCTGCTTCCCAAGCCTGGAAATCGACCCCATCCGGGTTCATAAATCTCTGCTCCGCTTTTGGTGACTGGTCCGGCGTTCCATCCAGGATTCTGCGTTGAATCCAGTCACGTCTTCCTAGTCTCCCCTAATATGTGACAGTTCTCAGTCTTTCCTTGTTTTTCCTCACCGTATTATTTCTGAAGAGTACTGGTTTCGCAGAACGACCATCTCTGTGTTTGTCCGATATTTCCTCGTGATTGGACAGACTGTATTTTGGAGGCGCCGGGTGTGGATGTGTTTCATTGCTGGTGATATTGAACTTGATTATTTGCTTGAGACAGTGTCTGCCACTTTCTCTTCTGTAAAGTTGCTGATTTCTCCTTTGCAATTAGTATCTTAAGAGACCATGCCAGGAGGAGAGGGAGGAGAGGGAGGGGAGGAGGCGGGGGAAAGGAAAGGAAAGGAAAATGAGGAGAATAAACGAGACCATGCAAATGCCCTGTGGGTTTTATTTTTGTTGTT